AACATGTTAAGACATTAATACAGTGCTCATATGCACGATTGAGATTGCTCTTTGCAAACAAGAGCATCATGAGTTTAAATCTGAGAAAACAATTATGTGAGTGTCTTATACTGTCAATTTTCCAGCATTGTAACATTGTTTATTTTCCCTGTTTAGAACAAAGAACCATTTACAGAATCCAAAAAATTCAAAGAACATGTTGTCGACTCATTTTCAATTTGAGAAAATATGATCATGTGTCCCATAAACTCAGGGAACTTCAATGGTTAGATATGAGCCATTCCTCAAAATATTATTTCTTCCATTTCATTCACAAGTTGCTTAAGGATCCAACTCCAGCTGATCTTAGAGAAAAACTCATTTTCAGACAAAATTAATAAAATTAAGAATGCCTCATCATACCACGTCTCTGTTTGAAAGAAGCTTCACATACAACTCGGTTATACTGTATAATTCATTACCAATAGAATTCAAACAATCACCATCGACGCAATTCCGTAAAATAATTAAGAGCAATTTGTTGAATCATACTTAACATGTGAGACAATTATGAGTAAAAATGTAGATGTCAAGCTAGATTTAGGTTTTGAGGATATAAAGATGGATTATTATCATTATTAAGAAACGGTTTATGTAAAAATGCCTGTCTCATCATCTATATTTCAATTCCAGACATAGATTCCAGTGAAATCAGTTGTTCTACATGAAACATGGTGGGCAAATCTCATTAATCACCAGGGACTAACCTTATGTTCGACTAATAGCTGATCATAAAGATACTCGACTCGTTACACACTTCTCTGCTTCAAACTGAGTCAGATTGATGTTTCTAGCTCTAGGAAAGTATCAAGGAACCTTCCTGTGGGATAAGAGAGCTATAGCTCTGGATTCATAGGGTTAAATTGACATTCATCATACAGGACGTGGAAAGAAATTCTGAATTGAGAAAAACCTGATCACGAATCTGCGATTGAGGTCTATGAAAATAACAAGTTAACATCGTTCGAGTTTGAACCTCTTGATTGGGTGAAAGTATTGGAAAGGAACATTTTCAGATACATCCATGAACACAAAAAACGGATATACAGGGTGTTTCCTAACTACGGTTCCTAACTGCAGGTGCTGATTCGTTAAGTCATTTTAGGAAGGAAAGTTACTATTAACATATGTCCGGGGTTGCTTTGTTTCTGAGATACAGGGCGATGGAATTGAAGAAAAATAACGGTAATTACAAAATATCATGAATATCCTTGAACCAATTTGATTGAAATTCAGTACTTCCATTTGAACTAATAAGGCGCTCATTTAGCCCTATTCAGATTGGAATTATCAGGGCCAGTGGCGTCTCAGTGGGCACCAGGGCCAACAATATTGTTAAAAAAGTATGCCACTGACTTTGTTCGGTGAATTTTCATTTTTTTAGATTAAGCAACTCAAAATACAACTTTTTATTCTCTTGTATTTTCTTCATATCCAGCTTCGTTGTCGAAAAAAAAATTGAAACCACTGTGTTGCATATCATGAACACCTGCATTGGAGAAATGAGTTTTCCATTATATTCGTCAAAAATATAATTGACACTTGATATGCAGAAATTTGAGAGAATATGATAAATAAAAGTACGAAATTTCAACCAAATCGGTTTCAGGATATTCATGATATTTCATAATCTTTATCGTTTTTTTTACTTCAACGCCCTGTATCTCAAGAACGAAACAACTCCGGACATATATTCATGAAAACTTTCCTTCTTAAAATGACCCAACAAATCACTCCCTGCAGTTGGGAACCGTAGTTAGGAAACATCCAGTATATATGAAGAAATATATTGAGAATTCGCATTCTCCATGTGATGAAAATATCAATGCTTTCTTGGTTTATTCAACAGAAAACAACTACTTTCCTGGCTATATGCCACGACGAATATTGAATTACATCTATTGAACACACATGATAAGAACTCGAAAACAAAATCTTCTGAAGTGAAAAACTTGCATTCTCCTTCATATGAAGATATGCATATGATATAATCCTGAATATTCAACAGGAAACAACTACTTTCCTGGCATTCTGTTGAATATCCAAAAAGAGAGCATGAAAAATCATATCACTGATAGGAATGATTTTTTTGGAAGTTCCAAGCTCATCAAGATTAGTGTTTATATAATTTTTCTTCTCCTATACATTTCAATTTTCATTTCAATACTGATCATAACAGTAAGTTATATTTTTATATCAAAATACATCATATTATTCAATTCGATTTGAGAGATGATGTCAATTCTCAATTTCAGACGGTTTTGATTCTTCATGTTCGCTTTTTGGATATTCAATAGATATAAATCAATGTTCGACGTGGCAAATAGCCAGGAAAGTAGTTGTTTTCTGTTGAATATTCAGAATTATATTATATGCATATCTTTATATGAAGGACGATGCAAATTCTCTACATCAGAAGGTTTTGTTTTCGAGTTCTTATCGTGTGTTCAATAGATGTAATTCAATATTCGTCGTGGCATATAGCCAGGAAAGTAGTTGTTTTCTGTTGAATGAACCGAGAAAGAATCAAAAAATCACGCAAATAGAATGACGTTAATTTCTCTCTGTAATATACTTGTACAGGGTGATTCACCATAAATGTCCACCCATCTAGCTCTGTTATTTTCTAATCATTCGCAAAATTTGAGGTATCATTTGGAACAATTTCTGATGAGGTTTTTCCCGCAAGATCAGAAAATACAGGGTGCTCGGAACAAACGATCTACAGGGTACTAGTTGATTTTTTCAAATGAAACACCCTGTATTTCATTGCATTTCTAGATTCTCCCTGAAAAGCTGATCTCATCAATGTATCACACTAGGAGTCTAGCGTAAATGATTACAGAGATATAGGGTGTTCAAAATCGAGATTTTTCAACTCAAGGATTTTTTTCTGTCGAAGCTATTCATTGAACCACCCTGTAGTACTGTCTGTAGTGTTCCGATTCAATGTCAATAGATAGTAAATCGAAAGTTGTGATATGGACATATGACTCGTTTTGACCAATAATGAATAGTTTGGACACAAAGTTGAAAATTCTCGATTTTGAACACCCTTTACCTCCGTAATTATTCCCGCTAGACCCCAATGTGATGCATTGATGAAATCAGCTCATCAGGGAAAATATAAAAATGAAATGAAATACAGGGTGTCCCATTTCAAAAAATCAACTGGTACCCGATACATCGTTTGTTCCGAGCACCCTGTATTTTCTGATGTAACGGAAAAATCGTCATTCTCCTTCACTATTACCAGGCTTTACAATAGGATTCCGGAACGGTTCAAAATTTTATCCACTGCATGTTTCAAAAGTAGTCTCAAAAAGAGCCTACTGTCAGGAGAAATATCTCTATGATGCCTCTTATTTCCTGGTTAATTTTTTTATTTTTTTTATTTTTTCTTTACTTTAACATGCCTTATTGAATTTGTATTCATCATTCTGAGTAGTTTTATTAATAGTTAATGTATTGTATCAATTTATATTCAGTTGTTAACATAGTTTTAGATTATTCAGCGTAGTTTAATACTAACTCCATAGGTTGAGTGGAAGAAAGCACTTGTTCGACTCAACACCGAGTCCGAACCAGAGCTAACTCTGCCTTTTGATAGATGATGTTATATGTTACCTTTTTTTGTTAACCATTATCTGTCAATAAAAGCGATTATTATTATTATTATTATTATTATAAAAAAACTCATTGAAAAATCATTTCAAATGATCCCTGGAGTTTCACGATCGGTTCAAAAATAACTGAGCTAGAGGGGGGGGACATTTATGGTGAATCTCCCTGTACGCTTTTTTTCTGAATACAGTTGTACTATTACAGGCCATTGGCACATTATGTCATCTCGTTATCAGATGACGGTCGACATTTGCAGTAGGCTCTTGAACTATTTTCACTGTGTAATCAACCGACTCAGCTAGAATTCGGGCAGCTGACTCTGATCTACTGGTCCATTTGTTCTAATCAATTTGATTCGGATCGGGAATGCGGGCGCCAGATTATACAGCTGAGTCGAGATAAATCTTAGAAGGCCTTGGCGGTGGAGCTATCACGCATCGGAGCGATCAAATGTTGGGTTGAATGTGTCTGGATTGATTCGAGGGCTGTTGACTGAAGCCGATTTGCTATTTGAGATCACTCTCGGCGATGGAGATATTGTCTTCTTGTACTCATAAAATGTAGGATTCAAAGATATGTAATTTGATGTGAAACTTGATAATTTTTGCATATCCCATTCAGATATTCAAGAAACTCACTCACTTATAACTTCAGTAAACACATACGAATGGTCATTATAGCTACTTTCCAAAATGAAGTAGAGTATTGTATTTTATGTCAATACTCTATTATGAAATGAATTTATTCGAGTGAAGTGATAAACTCAACCTGTTTGTGAAAGATATAATTCCCTTATCACTGATACGAATGATTTTTTCATAGAAGCTCATCAAGATCAGAGTTTATACAAGTATAATTCTCATATACATTTCGATTTTCATTTCAGTACTGAATATGTTGGTGTTAATTTTTTTTATATCATTATACATCATATTATTTCATCCGATTTGAGAGATGAAGTCAATTTCAATTTCAGAGGATTTTGATTTTTCATGCTCTTTATATGAAGAAGAATGCAAATTCTCTACTTCAGAAGATTCTGTTTTCGAATTCTTATCGTGAATATATTTATAGAAAATAATGTAGCTTTTAAACGGAGCGTATTGGTTTAAGGGGTGAATTTAGTTCAATCTAGGGCTGTGTAATAATATAATCAATATATATATATATTGATATATGGACAAATATTGATACCAGAGCATACACCATTATCGATATAAAGTTTTCAATATCGCCCAGCCCTAGTCCAACCATTCCACTTTGGTCTTTGTATTTAGATCTATGTCTCTATAAAACATACAACACAACATTCAATTGATAACATCCAATATATTAATCTAAATTTTAGAACTCCTTCTGAATCATAGTATATAGTATAACCAAGATAAAGTTGCACTGCATTGGGATCTCGGAAACGGAGATACGAATTCAGTTGGATGGAAAAAAAATTACGCATTCGAAATGTTATACCAACGGCGTTGGAGAATTTTCTAAATTAGTTTTAGTTTTTCAGTTATTCCGAAAATAGTGAATTTGTGGAAAATCTATTCTCTATTTGTCTTAATCATCGGAAATACCAAGAAACTGAACATATTTTCCCATATGATCTTTTGATGAGATCTAATGTGGTGATAGATTTCTCTACGAGAACCAGTTTCAGCCTCCTCCAACCTCAGTTCCACTTATTCCTGATCATTCAGTGTCAAATATTGATGAAGTAAATATTTCATACCAAGTTGAAAAAAATACTTCATGAATTATTCAATGCAGCGCTATCAGTTGTTTTATGTTAATGGATTCTCACAAGAATTTCCTAAGTTGATAAACTAATTCTAGAGTCCCATGGCCAGCGCGATCGCCTAATGGTTTTACGAATACGAAACGTTGTGAGGGAAAATCTGTATCGACACGTCAAATCACATCAAAATTTTCTATTCGAAACTATTTTTGGTATCTTTGTATCTCTAATAACAATGTAGAAAGAAGATAAAATCGATTTTCCTAAAATTGATCGATATAACTGAAAAACTAGACGATTTTGAAATTTTCCGAAGGCCGTTGGTATCGGATTGGGTCTTCTTACACGGCATTTTAGCCTCTACAAACAAATGGGTACGATAGGCCTGGCTGAGGAACTGCTGTGCAGGTTCTTTCAGGTAGAGGAGGAAACAGCCGTACACATATACAAAATTGATCGATATAACCAAACAACTTCAAGCAATTTTGAAAATTTCCAGAGGCCGTTGGCATCGTATTGGGTCTTCTAACATGGCATTGTAGGCTCAACAAACCTATGAGTACGATAGGATAGAGGAGGAAACAGCAGTACACATATTTTGCGACTGTGCTTGTCAAGACTATGGTTCCTTACTCTGAAAGAGTGAAAACCGAGAGCCCATAGATACACAGGGGATCTGGAAGCTAGCTTATGGAGCCTCATAAAGAAGGCAGGGCTAGCTGAAGAACTTCAAACGAATTTGAGGGCAGACACAAGAGATCTGAGAAGGTTGCGGTATGGAGACAGATAGCCCAAAGGCCCCTCTTTGAATATATTCTAATCTAATCGGGATGCGCATCTTTTTTTTCATTCCTCGGATTTGTATCTCCTCCCGTTTTCCGAGACCTCATCTCGGTAACACAGTATTAAAGATTTCTACTTCCTATACCAAGTCTGTACGGCGTTCATCCGCTTCACCTTCCTCTGCAACATGAGCACCCCGTACAGCAGCGCTTCAGCAGTCGGTGGACAACCGGGAACGTATATGTCCACTGGCACGATCCTGTCGCACCCCCTGACCACGGAATAGGAGTAATGGTAGTATCCTCCGCCATTGGCGCAGCTGCCCATCGAGATCACCCATTTGGGTTCCGGCATCTGGTCGTAGACCTTCCTGAAGGCCACGGCCATCTTGTTGGTGAGCGTTCCCGCTACGATGATGACGTCGGTTTGGCGAGGAGACGCCCGGAACACGACACCATACCTGAAACGAATCGATCATCTTTTTCTTTATCGCATGGGGGGCACGAACAGAAACCCCCATGATTCTTATTCAATGGAAAGATTGAGACAAATTGAGATGGTTCTGTTCTACCTCTAGGTCTCAAATGTAGCATGAACTTTTCCATACTCATGACTCCTTAGTATAGGCTGAAGATGGACATTGCATACGTCCTAAACATGTTCCTTATTCGATTTTTCAAATTATAAAGTCGTGGAGATGACTTCGTACTTTTTTTCATTGGATATGAACCGTTTCACTCTACTTCGAGCTACAATGGACTTCTTTCAACGTTTGAAGCTCTATAATGTTAGAAGAACATTGTGCGTACCAGGGAGAGGAGGTAGATATGAGCTTTTGTTTTGAACAATTGGGGATCAAAAATTCTTGAAAATCATACCTTGTCATAAGGGAACCATTCTAAATTTATTGGAGATATTTGAAATTAATGAATCAATTGAAGACGACAACATTATATCCTTGAATGAAGGAACCAATTTTGATAGCCAAAAATGTTTCAACGCTCTCAAATTCTAACCAGGATTCTCGACATGGTTAGTACTTCGGATTATCTTGAATCCTTTCTCAGTTTACCTGGTTGTTTCAGAAATGTTTTGTAAAAATTCTTGTTATCCATTTGACATATATGACTCATTACGGCCCTGCTTCTATCTCGCCTCTCGTCTGATATTCTTTGTTCATGCCACAGGATAGTTTTGTGTCACTTGTCATTTCAGACATACTCCACGCATCCCATGTCGAGTTAAAAACCTCCCCCTTCACCGCTCTACCACGTCATGTTAACCATGATTATCATGATGGGCCCCATTCGAATTCTAATCACTTGGAGGAACAAGTGTTGGTACCCTCCATAAAGCCCTTTGGGCAATGGACACTTTGTCCTCTATAAATTGTAACAATGTCATTTCATATTGTATATAATATTATTGTTGCTCCCTTTTTTCTTCATTACCACATCAGTACATAACCTAAGGTATAATTTTTGTAACGTTAAAAAAACTTTCCGTTGTAGAAATTGTCTTGAATATGCTTCTGCTGATGATGGACTATTAATAGTCCGGAATATGTTTAGACACTGATAATTCTGATGATAAGTTTGGGAACATGACATAAGTGTCTTTTGCGTATGAATAATACCTTAGGAAATGAATTCCAGAGCTTTGCCGTTTTATAAACAAACGCGTTCTGATAGAGTTCTGTTTCACAAATTTTGAGGTTCACAACGAAAAGATATGCTGACTGGGCTTGTTGAGTTCTTCTCACTTGTAATGCCTTTAGTAGCGGAGATTTCTGAGGAACATCACCGGTGGGTATCTATAGAGAAGTGAATGGTCGCCAACATTTCTACGGTGTACTAATGATGTCAAAGGGTTAGTAAGTGTGGAATTACCCACCAGGCGAATCGCAGCAGTTAGGATCCAGACTGTCGTTAACAATTTGACATAACCATGACTGGAGAGTTATAAAATAGTTTCCGAGAGGAAGAAGGAGAAAATATAAGAAGATTCTCTTCTCAGGCCTTATTCTCACAAGTCTGTCATATCAGCGTCTGGATACTAACCTTCATCAGCCTCATTTTATGCTCTCTTTCAATACCTGAAACTTTGAATTACTTACCATCTGGTTGAAAAGTCTAATTACTGAAAGAGTCCTCAACAACCAAGTTCTTCCTTCGTTTCGACATTCTTCATGAGAACTCCTGTTTACTCATACTATACGCATTACGCAAATCATCTTTCAACTAAGTAAACTTACATTTGAAACCATTCAAATATTGTCAAAACAATAGTATTCATTCAATATTCCTGAGGCAATATTGTTGAAATTTGAATAAATTTGAAACTTTCCTGGAAAACAACAAGAGGTGTGCACGAAGTTGCTCAATATATGATCCATCAGGATTATTACTCCTTCAATACCATTTTCTCATAATTATTGAAACTTCCGAGATGAAATTTTTGATAATCTTGTTGGTTATCCGTTGTTATGGAACTAGATCCCACTACTTTGGTATCAGTTGTACATACTCACTGAGACAGTATTATTAGACCAAAAGTCTCTTGCAATACTCATTGCATATTGAAAACAACATATTCTGCTGATAAGTTGCCTGCAAAACGTTAAAGGGCTCTGATCAATACTACTGTTGAGCAAATTTTGTATATCATCTGAAGACATATCGAATTTTTCATCTCTTGGAGAGGTATTCTGTCAAGAATTCGAAGCTCAAACAAAATTCACTCAATCACCCACTCAGAAGTGTGGTTGATTGATAACACTTCATTCGTTATTTTCAACCATCAATTATCCTCCAATGAGGAATCAGTGATTTCCTAGTTATATCTGATGAGTATTTGCATCTTCATATGTCTTCAAATATTTAATACCTGTCCATGTCATATCGAGGAGCAGCAAACTGCATCATTTCGACTGCACAGCAAGCTAAGCCAAAGGTCATCGGCCACAAGGACCTGCTTCTTCCCCAATTGATCAAATCGTCCATTCTTGCCACAGTCCATTCGGCCCAGTTTTTAGTATCCTGGAATCAAGATTCGAGTATTCTACTATCGAATTGTTTTCAATATTTTATTCAACTGAAATAATCGTTTGAGTATAAATTATCCAACATAAAAATACTACTTCGGGTTCCTTGTAACAATTGGTATTTTTTTCTACTAGGCAGGAATTCAGCTAAGAAAGTGAATCTGCTTAGCTGCTATGTAAAACATATAATTTTCTCTCCAACTGTTATAGAACCAATTTTGTATATTTTCTTTATTGGAAACTACATATTTTCATTTGTATGCCGTTTGGAGCGAAAAATATATTTAAACCAAATTTGGGAAAAAGGATCAGACGACTTTCAAGTTGATGATGAATCTGTAAAATACTTCGAGTATGCAGCCAAAGTAAAACAAAGTTCACTCTTGTTTGTGTTGGAGCTACGAAGTCTTTATTGGCTCTTCATCAGCAACTCTATGAGACATTAAAATTGATATGAGAATGCAATCGTCATTATCGATTTCTAAACACTTACAAAAAATGAGGTTTATTGAAGCTGGCTTCCACCAAGTTGGGAATAATACATGTGTAATAGAACATTCACAACATGAAATTATTTTTTTTGGAGACTAATGAGCGATTGTCACGTTATACTTGAAATTTATCGGGAAAACTTGCGAAGCATCTTATCTGCTCGACAACTATCACAACATGGCCGACAATCAGAATTATGTTATTATTAAAATTCCATCAGAAATAACGGTTTCATTATTTAACAGAATAAGAACAGTAGAAGAAGTGGACATTCCAATGGTGGTATTGCCAACTCTCCATATTTGACCTGGAAATTTGACATTCTGAGTATGAGTATATACGTCACTGCAACTCTTATTCACAGAAGCAGAGATTCACTTGAACCACTATAAATTGGAAATAATGGCACCTGTAGTCGCGGTTTACTTGTAGGAGAAATATACTATTGATGTTTAGCAAAGTCATATCAAGAAATTTCAAGAAACGAAGCAAGCAAGCCGATGAATATGGGACAAGTGAATATTGCTCCATTCAAATCGAAAATCTTTGTACCAGGCAATTTAATTTCAAGAAATTGGATTTGCTCCATTGAAGAAATCCTTTTTATCTGTGTATAACAAAAGTCTCTAGAACTAGGCTGGTGCCATATTTTGAATTCAAAATATTGACAATTGATAGATTTCGTTGCGATCTTATTCTGACAAGTATTCATATAGGTGACAATTCTTTACATTGTGAGAGTTTCATCAATCAATAATGAAGAAAAAATTCAACACACCATGGCTCTTAAGTTAAGAGGTTAGGGCTATTATTGTGCATATGTTCATAAGAACAGTTCCCTTTCTTGAAGAAAAACAACTAACGATTTCAACGAGGTAATGAGATACAGGTTGTTTTTTTTGATTACACCACTGGATTCTGCGCAAAGTCCCCTATAAAATGTAGTTCTTACCGCAATAATATTTCTTCTTCTTTGGTCCCCAAAGAGTAAAAATTTACAAAATCGCCCCGTATCTCATAATCAGAAGCAGATTATGTATAATATGCAGAATCTGATTAGACCATCTAGGGTATCACAAAAAAGTAGGAATGAACGTGAAAACCGCAAGGCTCCGTCTTTAATAACATTGGAGATACCTGGTAGTCCCAACCATTTTACAATTGGCAGGATATTGATTAATGTTGAATTCATATTCGTATCTATATGTATAGACATATTACCTGAAATGGAGAGTACGGTCGCCATTCTCCTTGCTTGTATAATTTGGACATATTGTTGGGAGTTTTGCTTGTCTCTGTTGTCGATTCATCTTTCTTATGTTTGGATTTGATTTTTTCGCACACATTCTTATATTTGGGCTCCGTCTCCTCAGTACTCGAACGTCGGAAGATAGGTCTTGAGGAAACCAATGATGAAGGAATAGGTTTGAACGAGGAAGATTTGAGTAGTATTGTCATTCTGATCGATTCTGACTTATGATGTCCATTATGTGATGACAGCACCGGTTCATATCATATTTTTGTCATCATAATGGGGGCTAAAGGCGGATTTATGCATGCCGCTTTGCCAAAAATCTGTAGTTTCACAATCATTAACGATTTCACTAATGAGTTGGAACTGGGTATTCTCGTTCAATAATTTATGCACTCAGATTATTTTTCCTTTCTAAACTACTCAACACTAATTTCGTCGCATACCAAAATGTCGCCCCTGTTATAATGTGAATAACTTTTATCAGTTTAGAACAATTTGAATTTGGTTCACACTGTTCGATAGCCCAGTCCTTCAGCTATAATCTCGTACTTCATTGAAACATAAGGGTATTCACATAAAATCTCTACATGGTGTTTTCCGACACTGTGCGAAATTTCGGAATATTCAAAAGGCTCTCAAATGGCGAAAAAAAATGTTTTCTCAACTTCGACAACAGAGGCATGAAGATGATCTCATTACTTCGAGATATTTCGCGAATCAACTTCCTATCTCTCTTATTTACAGAGTGATCTCAAAAAAACAACTTTTTGGTTTTGCAGCCATAACTTTTTTCCACGTCAACCGATTTTGGAAATCTTAGGCTCATTTTGAAGATAAAACTTCAGATGAAGAGATCTGACTATCAGAATTGACTCAAGATGGCTATCAGAGATCTAGAGTTTTCTTGAAAGTGACCCAAATCTGGAACGCCCTTCGAATCTTGGTTGGGAGGAGAATTGAATGAAAATCAACTTGTTCCCGGAAAAACAATTCATTCTGGATGCGTCCATATTTTCCTCGCTCTCAGTAGTCAAGAATTGTGCGTGAGAAAACACAATTGAAACATGTTCTTGCAAAAACATTAGATCATTTCTCATGTAATGCATGGCCCGCCGTAACCAACGTTACAAGAATCACAATGAGTGACTGACAAACCCGATCGGTTGAGGCTCATCATAAATGGTGTACCAACAAGAGCAACGGATTTTGATTTTTTCAATAAAGTGATTTCTTTAACAGTTGTCACGTACATAACATGCGATTTAAGAATATGGAGAAGTATTTAAGCAAACAACGTTTATTTATTGTAAAAACGCATTTCAAAAATGGTGAAAGTTTCACGAAAACAGTTTACCAATTACGTAAATTTTCAGTCGCAATAATGCGCCAAACGAATCGACAGTAATAACCAAACAATTCGTGTCGGAGATAAGCCCTTTGAATGGATCGGACTGTCGTGTTTAGCAGATCCGCGATTTGGAGGGAAGATAACCCTTGTTCCCTAATTTGTGGAATCAGTTCCAACTGGTCGGGCGTTAGATGCGGCATCGAAACTTTCAAAATCTGTTTATGATTCGAAAACGCCGTCTAACCTGACTTGTCAGTCACTTACTGTGATTCTTGTAACGTTGGTTACGGGCCATGCATTACAGAGGATAAATGGTCTGATGTTTTTGCAAGAACATGTTTCAATTGTGTTTTCTCACGCACATTCTTGAGTACTGAGAGCGAGGAAAATATGGACGCATCCAGAAAGAATTGTTTTTCCGAGAACAAGTTGATTTTCATTCAATTCTCCTCCCAACCGAAATTCGGAGGGCGTTCCAGATTTGGGTCACTTTCAAGAAAACTCTAGATCTTTGATAGCCATCTTGAGTCAATTCTGATATTCAGATCTCTTCATCTGAAGTTTTATCTTCAAAATGAGCCTAAGATTTCCAAAATCGGTTGACGTGGAAAAAAGTTATGGCTGCAAAACCAAAAAGTTGATTTTTTGAGATCACTCTGTAAATAAGAGAGATAGGAAGTTGATTCGCGAAATATCTCGAGGTAATGAGATCATCTTCATGTTTCTGTTGTCGAAGTTGAGAAAAAAAATGTTTTCACCATCTGAGAGCCTTTTGAATATTCCGAAATTTTGCACAGTGTCGGAAAACACCATGTAGAGATTTTATGTGAATACCCTTATGTTTCAATGAAGTACCAGATTATAGCTGAAGGACTGGGCTATCGAACAGTGTGAAACAAATTCAAATTGTTCTAAACTGAAAAAAGTTATTCACATTATAACAAGGGCGACATTTTGGTGTGCGACGAAATTAGTGTTGAGTAGTTTACATCAACTATTCGCTCAAAGATGACCAACTATTATCTCTCATGCTAGGTTTATAGATTCAACTAAACTAAGAATTGAACTTACAACTATGAACTAGGAAACATCTATGAGGGTTTTCATGTGTCATTTCAATCAATCAAGAATTGAGAATTTTCAAGCAGGAGGTGCAACCTAAAATCGACCGATCTGAGCATTTTTTCGTATCTATACGCTATTATCACCCAAAATCTTCCTGTCAAGTTGGAAATGGGCCATCCTGTATGATGAAGAGGTTATTAAATGATCAACATGAATACGTGACCGAAATATCAACATGAAGAGGGAAGAAACCTGCAGAACACAATAACTCCGATATCTTGGACTATGGATGATATGGAGGTACTCCGAAAGAATTTTTTCAGATATCTCGTGAACCAAGCAAAATTCAGAAAGAAATGAGGTGAGAAAAAGATAGATAATTGATCTTGTTATTCAAGCAGATATCAAAATATGGTCAGTGGCTAATTAAAAAAAATTCTATGGATTTTCTCCATTCAGAATGCTAAATTTGTATCTTCCTGTATATCGATTGCACTGATGAGACCTGTTATCTATGCACACTTCTTATAGTTGACTGCCTCCCAAATTTCAGATCATAACCTCCCAAGGGTTTTGAAATATTCAATAAAATCTGAAAAAAAAAATTCTATTCATCGCCCTCTAACGGCGCATTTTCGTATAAAGATGAGTTGGTCTCAATCGACCTATTTTGAACTTAAGTTCACCCTATTGAATTCAATGTACGTTGTTCTGGGGTATAATATGGAAATGTGTCTCATTGATTTGTTATTCTACATGGTTGCCGAAAAAATAAACACGTCCAAAATCAGTTTTTTTGGCCGCAGACTTCCAGGACTCGTCTACGGCTCGTCCTAGAATTTTGTCTGCTTGTTCAAAAAAACAGTATTTTCCGATTACTATTTTTTATTTCAGTGCAGTTACAAATTGTATCAACTATGTCTTGAATTTTTGCTGTTGGGATGTACCGAAAATCCGCTATATCAGATCGCAATGTCATCAAATCCGAAATGGTTGGACCCAACTAAGGGACTCTACCTAACGGTACCAAATTTCAGAAGAATCCGTTTACGAATGCAGAAGTAACAGAGGTGGCCAGATACTCTGTGTCACCCGGTATATATGAGATGTCGGGATCAGACCTAGGAAACTATTCCAGTATAAGTGCGTCCATTAATTTCACTGGAAGCTTATTGAAATGTTGCTACGTCAATGAATGAGAAATTGCAGAATCTGTATACCTTTTTTATTCGTCGTCGCTCAAGAGGAAATCCGTCTGAAACCTCGTAAACTCCAGCATACATTCGCAACTTTATTTCTCTCTGGATTTGAGTAGAAGCAATCCATATCTTTCATTGCTTCCTTCAGTATTCTTTAACGAGAAAAAAAGAATGTGTACGCATAGAGAGGTGTACCGCTTTTGCTTTTGAAAAGCCTCGCTCTGGTTTTCAAGATTATTCTGCTTCATTTGAATCCGCTCTCTCGTAAACTAAGACTAATGGATCCGGAAAAATATAAAAACGATTTCGTTCTGATGAGGAAAATCGAAATATTTTGTCTCATCAGTGATGTTCTTCTATTCTCAACCCTGTGTTTGAACTAATCGAAGTAAAACATAACTGAACTTCCGTATACACAATAATTGATATGAAATATTCAGATATGAAAACTTCATGAATAACAATGATTGATCAGGAATCGTATGCCGTGTTTAGTTTTCTTCCTATACAAATTGATTCACAGTGGATGGTACAGGGTGATTCACCATAAATGTCCCCTCCTCTATCTCACTTATTTTTGAATCGATTCAAAAATAAATTTGAAAAATATTCTGGAATGATTTTTCAGAATTTTTTTTCCAGTTTCATCAGAAATTACAGAGTGCTCGACACATACAATCTACAGAGTACTACTTGATTTTTTCAAATGGAACACCCTGTATTTCATTGTAATTTCAGATTCTTCTTAAAGAGATGATTTCATCAATGTATCACACTTGAGGTCTAGCGGGAATGATAACAGTAATATAGGGTGTTCAAAATCGAGATTTTTCAACTTCAAGATTTTTTGTGTCATAAATATTCATTATTGGTCAAAACGGCTCCTTTGTCACCATCTCAACTTTCGATTTACTATCTACTGACATTTAATTGAAACATTTACAGGGTGGTTCAAGATTCAGAATTCTGATCACCCTGTACCTGTTCCAATCATTAAATGTCAGTAGATAGTTAATCAAAAGTTGAGATACGGACATGAAAGCCGTTTTGACCGATAATGGATAGTTTCGTCACAAAAAAATTCTAAATTTGAAAAATCTCGATTTTGAACACCCTATATCTCAGTAATCACTCTCACTAGACCCCAAGTGTGATGCATTGATCAAATCAGCTCTTCAGGAAGAATCTAAAAATACAATGAAAAATAGGGTGTTCCATTAAAAAAAATCAAATAGTACCCTGTAGATCATTTGTTCCGAGCACCCTGTATTTTTTGATGTAGCGGAAAGAAACTTTATCGAAAATCATTTGAGATGATATTTCAAATTTTGAAATCTGTGCAAAAATAACTGAGCTAGAGGGGGGGACATTTATGGTGAATCACCCTGTACATTATACATTTCTGGAGAACGCAACTCAGGATGATTCTGAAAAGTTGGTGCCTTGGATAATTCATTGTGTTCTATCGACCTAAAATAATCTCAGCGTTGCGACGTAGCCGCTAACATTGAAAATAAGCAACAACTTCGATTTTTTCTATGGAGCACCCTGTATAACATTCCATTTTCAGATTCTTCCTGAAGAGCTGATTACATCGACACATCAA